CTCTAGGGATGATGCTTCAACCAATTCCCTGGGCAGTGTGTTCCAATACTTGACAACTATGTCTGTGAAGGAAATTTTCTAATGTCCAACCTAAACCTCCTCTGGTGCAACTTGAGGGCAAGGGACTCTGACAACTACTTTCATACACAGGCCGAAGTCTGCCCTACAGAAGCCCAAGTGAACAGTTCTGCTGACCCCTCTTCTTACTTCTCCAAGAATCTCTTACCATTTCATGGTCATTGTGCCCAATCCTTCTCTCTTCACAAGCAACAGGTCCAGTGGGGCACTTTCTCTACTTGTTTTACTCATCCACTGGGTTAGGAAGATTTCTTTCATACACTACAGGAACCTCCTATATCCTCTTTCATCTCTGCTGTATGGTATTTCCAGCATATATCTGGTAATTTCCCCATGAGAACAAGGACTGGCAATTACGAGACTCCTCCCAGCTGCTATTTCCTCTGCCTCTTCACCTGGTTGGGTGGTCTGCAACAGACTCTCACCATGGCATCTGACTTGCTGGCCTTCATCCTCAGTCTCATCCATAAACACTCAACTCTATCATCCTCATCATAAAACTCTAGACAATTGAAACACTTCCTAACATACATGGCTACCACCTCTCCTTCTTTGCCTATCCCTTCTAAAGAGTTTACAGTCATTCGTTGCAAAACCCTTTAGGTCTGGATCCTCCAGAGGATCTGTCCCAAAAACTAAATAGCATCTCTGTAAGCAGAATTGTTCTGCAGCTCTCTTGTGATGACTGACAGATGGGAACTGGAAAATGTCAGAGACAACAAGAAGTCTGTAAGAAAGAAAGTAAGAAGATGGAAGACAGGAAGTACAAAAATGGACTTCCCAGACTTTCTGCAAATCATTATGACTCGACAAAAGCTGTGTCAGCATGAGTTTACTATTTTGCAGCCAATCTTGATGTATTTATACATGAAGACAAAAATAGTAAACTGAGATGTGTATGGCCTGATGTATGTTTACATGAAAGGCACCGATAGTAAGTTCACATGTATGTTGTGTGAAAAGCATAAATGTCTGCAACCTGTTACAATAAAGATCTCTTCCAGCCTTCTTGCTATCCTGTCCCTGTTTGGAAGAAGATTCTATGTCGCTTTGGCCATCTCAACATAAGAGCGACAGGAAGAGAGGAGACAGAATATATTTTTCATGTCCTGTCTCTAACCTATAAAGTATTTGGGGCTCAGAAGGGGAACGTCTCTCATCTAAAAGGAAGAAGTTGAAAGTTGTTTTTTATTTATAAGTTCTTTTTTCCCCCCCACTTAGGATCTTTTTATTTTATTGTCATCTCCTCACCCTAGATTTTTTTCTTTCTTAGCTGGTAGAAATCCTTAAGGCTTAGGCAGTGGAATGATTGATGAAATTTTTCAGAGACATATGAGAAGTGCAGGCACTTTCATGTTTCCTACATTTTGCTATTTTCCAAATTAATGTAAGTTCTGCACTGCTCTGACAGACACAGCTGAGTTTGCCATGGGAAAATGCACAGCCACATTTTGGTTTTGTGTGACAAGTGTCGCGGGTGGGAGTGGAAGGCTTAGGCAAAATTTATTAAAAAAAAAACTCAAACAAAACCCTGCCGTTGAGCCACAAGGTGCAGAAAGGACTCCCTTGCTTTCTAAACTCCTTCTCAGAGAGGAGTCTAGGTGCACCTGAATCCAATCTTAGCCTTAGATTATGTCAATGGTTTAAATTTAAGGAATTATAGAAGTGTGATGGAACGACTTTTGTCCTGCAGGTTTTAATGATTGGCAAAATGAGAGTATTTATATAAAATGAACCATTTATTATTAAAAATGATCAGACAAAGATCTTAATCAGAATTGCTTACTACATACTACAAGTGTTAAAACTACTAGTAGTATAGTATAAGATAGGACAGTGCACTATATTGAAGCAATTATATTAAAGCTAGAAAAAAGAAATAATTTTTAATTAAAGATTGTTGTAACTCACTCATACCAACACTCATGGGGAGATATCTTTCTCTCAGCTTTGAGGAGTATCCTTGGAAGGCATCGCCACCCAAGGGAGGAATCTCCACACATACACACCAAGAAGGGTTATGTCAGAAGAACCTGACTGCATGAGAGTTCTTTGAAAGAGAACTTTTATAGTATAAAATGATTGACTGCTAGTCATACATTTGCAGGCCAGCTACCATCTTATCTGATTCGAAGTCTGGTGAACCAAGATGGTTTTAGCATAATCAATACCAAGACAGCACCCTGGTGCCAGCAGTTGGACTTGCATGACAGCTTGCATAATGCCTTGCATTGTATGCATTCTCTGATTGGATTTTAGGTCTTACCAAGGTGGGCTATAATGCCACACCAAGATGCAAGTTGCTGCAGAGCAGATTTTGGTGTGTGTTACAGTGGTGCCTGGGAGCCCTGTTACCGGCCCAGGTGCTGTTGTGATAGGGGTTGCACAGACACCTGGCCCTTCTCTGATGGCTGTATAAAATCTTTTCTTTCCTTTCCTATGACAGGCTGAGTGTGTAGGTGGGCAAAGCTTGTTTGGTATCAGGTCTACAGATAGACCAGCAGAGCCTTGAGGCTTCATGGCTATATTTCCTGTGTATATAATATCTGGATTTCAGTCAGGACTGCTTCCAAAAGAGAAAGACAGGAGTTCAAACATGCATCCTTTTTCCTGTTTCCTCCTCACTGTGTCTAAGCAGCTGTGTATTTGGTGTGCGTGCTTTTTTGTTTACATCTCAAACTGCACACTCCTTCTTTCTGTAGATAGTGTGGAAAAGGTCTCTGACTCTCAGGGTAGCTCAGAGTTACACAGACAGAATTGGAGGTGTCCGATTAAATACTCTAAGGATCTTTATTTATTTCTTTGGACTAATTTCAACAGAGGAGTCAAGTTAGTACCTAATTTAGAGTATTAGCCATTTCACTGAATTCAATGGGTAGATTGCAAATGCTCATGAATGTGTCCCTACACATCCTTGCCAGGTGAAAAGGCAACGTCTATGTACTTCCAAGCAGGAAGTCACAAGACCTAAACCCTCGGGGCACTCACATAGGTATTTACATCTTCCAGTAGTTTCTTTAGACTCAGGGAATGTTTTGTGCTTAAAGTTATACATGTGCTTAAATGATCTACCATCTGTTTAAATTCCATAAAAGTAGCAAGTTGAAATTAATTACTCAGAACAAATATAATTCAAAGAACCTCTGAATTGTATTGAACTCCTTAATAATTTGTGAAATTTTGGGCATTATCATGTTTGAAAGAACAAATAACATGGTAGATAAGGAGACAGGTCTCTTCCCATGGAAGAGATCTGAGAAAAGAAGCCTTGGAAACCATTAATCCAAGACTGGCTGCCTGGATCTTGCCTGCTTGTGAAGACATCAGATACAAGTTGTTGCAGCAATGACAGAAGACAGAGCATTAACCTCAGGTGCTGGCTTCAGTACACTGGCAATTTCCCATTATAGATTGATCCAGATTTTTCTCGAGATTTGCACATAAGTATTCATGTGAGAGAGCATAATTTCAGTTAGAATAAACACCACAGGAAATCTTTTAACACTGTAACAAAATACTGCAAGTGACTAGTTAGGAAAAAAAACCAAACCAAAACAAAACTGGTATGGAATGACATATTTGAAGCTTCTATATTTAACTACATTTTTGTGACATCTAGCTATCTGCTCTCTTCGTGTCTTCAATCTGTCTGTCAAAAGACACTGAAGACCCTATTGACTGATCCTCATAACACAGCTGTACATGAAAACAAGACAACCAAGTAGTAGCCTTGAACTCACACTGCTGAAGTCCAAATGGGATGTCAATTGCATCATATGAGGGAAGATATTAGAGCAGATGAAGCATTTCTGAGTGATTCAGAAGCCAGTTTGACATGAAATAAATTCAGTCTGAGCCTAAAGAAAAGGTTTGGTTCAGTTATTGGAAAGTGAAGGTTATTATTATTATCATTTCATCTAGGACCTTTTAAGAACTCAATATATTGTGAGTCACTTTCCCTATGTTGTGTTATTTTCCATTTTCATAGGACCTCCCTTCCTGATTTTAGCAAAGCAAGTTCCTAAGTACTGTGAGAAAGGCTGTTCTCCTAATGATAACACTGATGACGTTTGCAGAGCTGGGAAGCCTCATGAGAAAACTTGTTATGCAGATTGAGAAGGATCAGATAAGCTTCTTCTACTTCAATGGGATCAAAAGTGGAGTCACATTTTAAGAAAGCATTCAAGCATTAACAGAGGTTCAGCTGACATGAATCATGCTGGGGAGCTCTGCCAGCCTACATCTGCTTTGTACCTGCTGCTGCAAAGTTCTCCCAGTGTTCTTTAGATAATAATTCAGCACATTAAAGAACTTTGGACTAACTCAGTGGAATTGGTTAAGTGTTAATATATATTAAGGTGACTTTTAACAGCTGCAGATAAGGTTATTTGTTTCTTACTTGGTGTAAAATAGCTAGAAAGGGAGTAGGGGCAGAAAAATGGGGTAAAAATGACCCATTGCCTAGAAGCATACTTGAGAAATAAAATTAATGGAATTTTGTAGAATTCACAATTTGAGTGATTTGGGGAAAACGTCTGTTATTTTTCATTCTCATAGAAAGCTAAATTTGGAAGGTGAATCACCTGATTCAGGAGGAAGTGATTATTTGTTAGAACTGTGAATGTTTCTTGAGATAGAGCTGGTTGCTTCATATTAATTTAAATGCATTTAACAATGAAAGTATCATCTATAGCACTTCTACCTGTCAGAATGGAGTGGAAAATACCTTTTCCTCTTCAAGCTCAATAATTTTCCATGGGGAGTGTCAGAAACTTCCTGTAATTTCACAGTTTTCCCCAGTGGCCAGGTTTTCCTGAACCTGGTGAAAAGCAAGACCCAGAAACCACAACAGCAATGTTGTGACAATGAACTAATATGACCAAGATCTGCATATCAAAGCAGAGGTGAGGTAGTACATATACATGCACCAAAGATTAAGAGATGGTAATGGACAATATAATAGAAATTAAAATGGAATAAAGAAGTCCAATATTTTTTAACAAGTCAAGACCTACCTAGAGCAATCAAAGCTTCCAAGTGAAGCTTGGAGTTTGGGGACTGACTGATTGTTTTGTAGATCTCTTGCTGACAGGGAATGTTATACATCTTATTAGTGTTAAGATCTATATCAGCCCCTGCAGTGATCAGGCTGTGCTAACTGCAAACTTGACAGAATCACCTCCATCTGCAAAGCTGATAAAGTTTTGGAGGTTGGACTAGGTGATCTCCAGAGGTCCCTTCCAACCCTAATGAACTAGTCCGTGATTCCATGAGTCTAAAGCTAAGCAGTAGTCTTGCAATGAGATTACACACATTGTTAGGAAGTATGTGTCCTCAGATTTAAGCTTTCCCTTCGTTTTTGCTCACAATACAGGAAATAGCTGGTATTTTCAGGGGCAAAATAACACAAGTCGTTAAAATGGTAAAAAACCCCCAGAATTGTACTCTCAAAAAAAAAGATGGTTATCGGAAGTGAATGAACTCTTTAGCTCAGAGGCCAGTTTTTTCTAGTATGCCGTTTGTACAGACTCTTCTTTATGAAGCTGAATGCCTGACTTGCATTGCTTTTTCACTTCTTTAAGAAGTCAAATGGGAAAGACAAAGGGCATTTTTGAAATCTGTTAAGCTTTAAATGTTTTGCAGAGTTCTACTCCCCATAGTGTAACTGAAAGTCCAAATGTAGGCAGGAAGAAAGTAAAAATTGTTACTCTATCTCTTAAAAAGGCAGAAAATGGAACAGCAGTTTTGCTAGTCTAGACTTTTACATCGAGAAAATAAAAAGGAGGACTGTTTTGCTTCAACCTAGTTTCAAAGACTGAATTGGTTGGTTAATTGGATGAACCTAACATCAAATGGTATTTCCTAGCAATTCCCAGGGTGTTCAGGAGAGCACTCTTCCCCATGAGCTGTACTCCTCAGAGGATTACACAGACCAGAACATAATGAAGAATTCCCCTCTGAACAATTTTGTGTTATATACTCTGAGATGAACATAATAATGAAGAGACAGTCTGATGAGGTGGCTTACACTTCAACTCCTGAAAAGCATTGCAACTTAACATACTTGAAATGAAATGCTGTGCATCACCCCTGGTCTGAACTGGAAGCTTTTTTTTGCTCAGCACTTTTGAAATTAAAACTTTCAGCATATTTGAACCAAAATTATTGGAATTTTTTATTGTGTGAAAATATGCAAAGAGCAAGTACTGAAAGACACATGACCTGGGCTGGAAATCTGAAATTTGGTTGATATCACATTGCAAGGAAATTCTTATTGGCATGCAGTCCAAACTGTAGTGATCCTAAAAGGGGAGTAAAATGCCTGCCGTAACATTTCTGTATGCATGCTTCTCACTGTCATAAAGGGCAAAGGAGGGAAATACTTTTCAATGCTAATGAGACTGTGTTCCTCTGAAAAAGGCATTGCTGACTCTGGGCTATTGATAGGGCTAACTGCAGAACTTCTTTAAGCCCTTATGTGGAAGGGCAAAAGTCAAGTTTTTAGTATCAACAATTAGACTGGTAATGAATATTCTCTGCAATATGCAGCACTTTCTTCAGACCTCTCCTTTTCAGCAACCCTGAGAGGACAAAGTCATTTCAGAAATGTAAAAACTGAGCCGCAGCTGAATTAAGAACTCACCCCTTGGATATCAGATTCCTGTTGGGTACAATCACCACTAAAATGTGCACTTGCCTTGTTAGAAGACTATAGGAAGTGAATTTCAATATGTTTTGTGTAACTGTGTAGTGCAATAGACATGAACTCAGTCCAAGTCACTAAATGTTGAAACTAGCAGGGCTACCCCAATGAATGCTGAGAATTATTATAGTCAAAGGCACCACTGTGGCTGAGATTATGGCAAGCATTTTCTTGCCTTTATAAACTGGAAAAATTATGTATAAACTGTCAAGAAAATTACCTTTGTTCAAATTGTTCTCAGTAGCACCACTATATGTTTCAGTAATTTTTAATGTTTTTTATTTTTTGATACATACAACAAGGAAGGAATGTTCTGATATATATGTGCTGAAAACAAATTGTATTAATAAAATTATGTTTTTTCTGCAAACTTAGCTGGTTCCAATGCATTGTTAAATGCCAGCTACTCCAGTCTCAAATGATGCAATGAACGTAAGACCATTGATTTCAATGAAATTATGATAATTCAAATCATCTTAGTAATTTGGTCCCATATATTCCGTAATCATAAAAAGAATATAGATTAGTGGAATTATTTTCTTTCACATCTCCTTCATTGCTCTTTGCTGAATTTTTGTGCAATTGAGTCATAAACCAGTCTAAATGAGATTAAAATTACTCTATTGTAATGTATTACCTTTACATCTACATTTCAGAGATTGCTTTAAGGAAACATTCTGTTGTTATTTTCAGTATAAGTCTACCAGATGCATAATCATCTGTAAATTTTCCTGTTTTTTCACACACATGAACAAATAGGTTTGGGAGCACTTTGTTGTAATACGTGGGCCCTAAACCCCCAAATTCTCCACTGGAAGACATGGGCAACCAGGTACATTGTTCATCAGGAAAGTTATTGGAACTTGTTATCACTTAGAGAGCTGCTCAAAATGAGCAGAAGGAATAATCCTGTTTTGGTAAATACAAACTTCAAATGCAATATTTATTAGGGATAAATAATTTCTTTTTCCCTTCTGTGAATATCAAAATGCTGTAGCTAGAAGTTGAATCTAGGCTACAGGCTGAAGAAATTTTTTATGATCTGGTCCCTGGAAAAAAAAGACTGTAATTAAAAAAGATTGAACACCATAAATCTCTGCAAGGCACTGTTTTCATGAGCTATATATTCAGTCATTCAGTATTTGGAAAGTTTCAGAATAGAGCTGATGTTATCATATTTAGCTTAAAATATGCCAGAAGGCAGACCTGGATTCATTTCATATGGGAAAATTATTCCATAGATTCAGAGAGTTTCCATAGGTCCAAAGACTTTCCTGTCAGGTAGATTTAGCCAGATATTCAACTTATATGGACCTTCTCCAAGCTTTATCCCAATTATTTGGATCATAACTATCATTATTACAAGTTTAAATATTTGATTCCAATTCCAATCTTAAAACTAAAATGGAAATAAGACATATAACTGAATTTGAAAATATGAGGTACTGAAAATGTACTTACCCTTTTTCGTAATGGGATCTTAGATATTCAAGGACTCAAAATCAGTTTTTTACAGGTTTTTGCCCTATATTTGTTACTGTGGCAGCTTACCATACTGTATGCTGTAGAGTTTTACCTGCCCCTCTTTGTGAGCTGGGCTGCATTTGCAGGCCTTTACAGAACTTTTATCCTAGTATAAAAACTGAATTGCATTTAAATTATTGTATCATTTGGACTGGTCAAATAATTGCCTCTAAGCCAAAAAGATCTGTAAAATTATATTGTTAAATCTACACAAAACAAATGGTTTCATGGCATTTCTTTAATAGATGAACTGTTCTGCAGAACCACTTCTTTGTGAAAATAGTTTGGCCTGTATGAGCTTCAGAGCTTCACCACAATGACATTATTTACTATAATACAGCCTTGGGCAAAGCAAGTTAAAAACAAAATCGCATCAAAAGAGAACATTTAAACTAGAAGGCATCTTTTGTATTAGAAGTTACTTTCATTTCCTTTGGCTGAATAATTTTTTGTGATAGTTATGTAGAGAAATAGCCTAATGCAGTAAACTCTGTGAATTGTGGAAGCTGCACAAATGTTATCACTAGACAATAACTAATTCCCAGAGAAGGTACCAAGACAATTCACAGTTCTACCATGGTAAAAATTGTAGCAAAAGTTCCCTTTAAAAGAGCATTTTTACAAAGATAGACGGAGGTTTTAAAAATGGTGGAAGAGAAATAGAGACAGAATAAGAAAAAAAATATTTGCTTACCTAATAACACAATGAAGACAGATTATGTTCATATTTTTGTTGATTCTTCTACTAATTTTTCTGCTAATCTCAGAAGTGTTTTCTATCTCGTGAAAGTGCTATTACACAGCAACACAGCATGCCAGAAACAAGCACCGGAAAGTGAAGTGACCTTAATTCTACTGTTCCCAACCCACCTAAAATGTTCAAAGATACTGCTAAAAAAGAAAGAATGTTTGTTTTATTTTCTCCTTTTATAACTCTCAGAGTTGTTTTATACATCAGAAACTCAAGCCAGATTTTGGAAAAGCTTAGGGGATGTGATAGAATAGAGTTTGGAATAAATATGGCATATTGAAGGATTGTGATTGCACAGACAAATATGTTAAAAAAATGCTTTCTCGTTTTCCAGACAGGTTAAACAATTCCATTTCACTGAACAACAGTGGCTAATTGTATAAGTGAGGAAGAGAAGCCCAGATCTGTTTTACTGTTAAGGTAACATGGCAACATTTCTTTTCTATGCAAGTCTATGAAAGCCCATCATGACCAAAATAACATCAGATTAAATAGATGCCAGTGAATTTCTTGAAGATTGTATAGTGTCTGGATTTTTTTTTTTTTTCTGACAGATATATGTTGAAAATTCTTACTGGTGTCAGGAGCTGAGGGAAACTGCTCTCCTTTGGAGACAGTCAGCTATATATCAGCTCATACTTGGAATACCTCTATTAAAAGCTGTTATTTTGCAGTGTTTTAAGGACAAAAGAAAGGTCACACAAAACATAAATAATAATATGTATATGTTTTATGGGAATAGGTTTTTATATTTAATAACATTTATGCAAAGGCTGCCCAAACTCATTTATTACCTTTGGTGAATAGTTGTGAAGAATGGTTTCCCTTTCTCTGGCTTGTCTGGGTTTTTTTTCTCTTAATATTTTTTCATATATATTTGAAATGCTGAGTTTATCTATAATACTTTAGGAGAAGTTAAGTTCTCTGAACAGCCTGTTTCCTGGGGATGCTCTGTGATGGATCAAGATACCACTATAACAATGTCCTCTTCATAGTGCAAGACTACATGGGAACTGTGTTGGATGACTCAGTAAGTGGTTTATTAATTTGTTTTTATCAAAATAACGACTGATATATTGCTAAATCTCCATTGCTAAATATCTTTATTGGATGTTGGATGTAACAGGGTGTTAACTGGGGTACAGTCAAAAGTGCCCACAAGTAAGAACAGTCTGGTCCTAATCTGATAAAGTGAGTCCATTAATTTTTCTGTCTTGGGATTCAATCTCTGTGAGCAGAAACAATATTGCAACACTCCATGATTAATTGCATGGGGTAATCATAATCTTTATGTAAGATTTTGCTTGGTCTCTGCACATGAAAGGTCTTGCATAGGGCTTATTTTATCTTCTTCATGAGAATCCCACCCCACCTGGCGCTTCTTGCCTGTCTATCTCAGGAAAGTAAGTATTTAAAGATTTTTGAAGATGCCCAGTGCTGTGGGTTGCCTTTCTTGTGCATCCACAGACAATGTTTTGCACAATGACCAGGAGGAATGATGATCAAATACATCTTTAGAAATACCAAATTTGGGCACATTTGAGCTAACTGAGATTCCCAGATATGCTCTTTCTGATAGCAGAGACACCATGAAAAACCAAGTGTGATGCATATCTTTCTAAGATGCATAAAGACTGGGACGTGAAATTTATTATGTCAGTTATTGAGACTTGAATAGATGATTGGAAGAAAGCACTGGATACATATTATAAAAGGGTAGAAACTTAAAAGGATTTTGTGTTATTAGGTGATAAAGAATGTATGTAATACATCAAGATATATTTTCTCAAATGTAAGCGATTCTAAGTCCAGGTTGTTGGATTAAAGTTGACAGCAATAAGAAAAATTCCCTTGTTTTGTCAAAAAATGTGTCATATCAGAGAAGATGTGTATCAGGCACAGCTTTAAAGTAAAGAAAAGTAAAGCTTTCAGAGAAAGCAGATTTATTTCCTTACTCTTGTATTAGCAATTACTGTAATTCATATTTTAAATTTCTTCTTTTACTTACTCTTGATTTTCACAGTAATATTAATTGGGAAAATAATTCCTTCCTCTATAGATTGGCAGTTGGTATAAGAGAGGTGGGATCTAGAAAGACTCTTGAATTGCAGGAAGTGCCACTTTTCTCCTCTATGAATATGTTGGTGGTCTCCAGAGAGGATAAATGAGAAAAAAAGGAGCTAATTCCACTTGCTGCTCATAATAGCCAGATGGCCAGATGTCTCAGCCACTGTTTGCTGTGGACAGTTAATTTGAGTTAGTGATGTGCTCTGGATAGAATTCAAGAGCCTTGTTTATGATGGGAGAAAGGATCTGTGACCCTATCTCTTCTCTGTGTGCCAGGGTCTGGTAGAGGAAGAGCTGTGTCTGAGCACTGATGTGCTTTCATAATCTAAGCACAAAATGGAAAAGAATTAGTTTGAACAGCGATTTACAGAAACTTTGTGGAGGCATGTCTGCAATACCAAGAGACACCTGAGCTAAGAGAGACCTCTTGCCTACTGGAAACTGGCTATGTTTCTTCCTAGCTGGTTATGATCAAATGGTGAGTGTCCCCCAACTTATCTGGGTTTAAAAGCACAGTTTATTTAATGCTGAAACAGTGCAAGTGGATCTCATTGTTTTGAGTTGTGCTTGGGCTCCTTCACAATTTACATCTTTTCTATGCAAAGCCAGGGTTGGATCCAGCTGCTCCATGAACAAGCCACTGTATGGCTGGCAGCACAAATCACTCCAGCTTCTCTCTGTTTCTCCCTGTTTCTCCCAGCAGGCTGTGTGTTTCTGTTTGAATAAGTTTAAGATCTTTAAATATTTACTTAGCTTTTTGCTTTCCTATTAGAAAATGGTGAGACAGTTTGTTTCTAGTATTTGCCAGGATCTTTTCAGCTTGTGAGTTTACCTTTCCTTAAATTACGAACACAGTCTTTACAGAGAGGGACGAGCAAGACATCACTGTAAGGCCGAACCAGAACTCAGGTCAAAGAACCAGTTGTTGTTGTTAAAGGTACAAGGCCATCACATGGTAGGATTTTCAAAGTCGCTCTGAGGACTTGCACTCTTAGATCCATTAAATATTAGCAGCCCTTTTAAACATCTACCTTTCTGTAGTGTTTTAGAAAACTTAGTATCACCCAGCAGGAAAGTGAGGTATTTCTTTCCTGTGGGAAATGCAAGAACAGTCAGGGGCTATTGGAAGAAAGGAGGAAGAAGATGGCCAGCACCACCACAGACGAAATCCTGTCCCCTAGAAGAAGGTTGCTATTTTGGGAAAAGGGAATATGGTGTCCTGAGACTCCAGGAAGAGGAGGAGCCCAGAAACAGCTGCAAAGAAAGGGCAGAGATGATGGCAAGCTGGAATGGTAACTGAAAATGTAGGAAAGGGGAAGAAGGGAATGGTAAAGCTCTCCAAAATGAATGGTGACCAAATGAAGCACATATAATTAAGTTGGATGCTTTCTGGGCTGAAGAAAACATTAGATGTTCACTCTGAGAAGTGTTAGTCATTACCGAGAAAGGTCTGAAGACCACTGGCTGACAAGACATTAATACTAATTTTATTTTGTGCACTTAAAATACTTTAAACATATATATAATTGCAAAGAGTCAAACAATGTATATGGCTGTTTGTCAGATGTTTATGCTTCAAAAATACAGTCAAGCTATTGAAACCTCAATATCCTTGACCCCACTAATTGGAAAATGCTTCAGCTATGATTTTTGAGTCTTTGATCATTATATTAATGTCAAATGTGTCTTCAGTAATCACACAACTACGTGGTAGATGAGAGAAATCAGACATATAAGGTTCAATGATTCCTGTGAAGAAAAGAGAATATTTTTCCTAGTGCAGATGCGATCAAAGATTAAAAAATACCACAGTGCATGCAAAATGATTACGTTCTGTATTTATGGCAGAATTAGTCTTGGCAAATAGAAAATAATACCTTGCTGGGAGCAGACCAACTACTGAGATCGGATTCATTGGTATGCTCTGGCTGCTCGGTGCTCCATCAGAGAGTACAGCTGGTTTATGTTGTCAGAGCAATAGAAAGCAGCCAGGATTTACAATAGAAATGGGGCCAACATGTGCTTTATTTATGATTATTATTTTTTAAGGTGAAATAAAGCAAACAAAAAAAAAATATTGTTGAGCATCACAAAGCCGATACCCGCTTTGTGACATGGCAGACTGACTGCAGTTACTTAAACCCAAACTGTTCTTGAGCATAATTGCTGTAGCAAGCATCCACCCACTGGCAATGCACAGAACTCTCAGTCACCATTTCACTGCAAGCAATCAGAGAGAGGCAAGTGAAGTCTGATGTACAGGCATGAGAAGAGCAGTTTCATCCTGGATTTGATAAGGTAGTTTTAGGCCACAATCCCTGCTATTATCCTGCCTCTCTGTGCTGTGTGAGGGAGTTCCACTGTCATGGGGCAATTCACATATCAGTGCCAGTCCTTGAAATGCTGATTTAATCATTACTGAAAACGTGGCTGGGAAAGGGTTAACTGCTTTGAAAGTACTTATCTCTTTGACATGTTGAGACAAAGGTGACACACTGGTCACAGCTTCAGTCTCCTGCACCCTACATGCATGCTCTAAAGGCAATTTGTGATTTTTTTTTTTTTTTACAACTGATTATATAAATTAAAACCTGTGACAGTATTATCATTTATGCTACTGCCTTATGTTTTCTCTCCGAAATCACTATTGCCTCACCTGCAGTAGAGATGTTTGTGTGCTTACTTCAATTCAAATTACTTCACTTGCAGACATACTGTGTTTTGACTGATTAAAGCAACCTAACTCATTTTGATGAAAGCCAACTACAGACTAATTGCCTCAGAGAGTCAGCAGATGTGACTGAAAAGTGTCGTCTAACTGAGGTCAGTCAAGAAGTTTTGCTTCTTTAACTGGCACACAGGCCTGAAGACACTGTCTGTACACTGGCTCAGCAAGCCTTCTGGTCATCTACCCCGTGCCAGCTGCCGGTCTCTGCTTGAGATTCAAAGCCTTGCTCCAGCATAAATTAAGGCAAATAATGTGGTTTCAATCATCAGGCAAAAATCTGCCCGTGATTATTTCTTTAATTGTTGTCCCTTTGATATTAACTTACCTCCACACAGGGAAGAGCCAACAAAGACAACATTGCCAAGTCATGCAGAAAAAATGCAGTGGTCGGTAACTGTATTAGGACCGGGAGAGCAGGAAAGCCTGGAACTGCTGCAAAGCAAACCCCCAGAACAAGAACTTTAGATGACCCTGTTACTCAGAGTAGTATTGTCACCTTCTGTACCTCAGTATTATAAGAGATTTCATGATTTATTTTCTTTCCCCAGTAAGTTGGATTCTTTTGTTTAGTTCTTAGATTTATGAGAAGTACATATTTGAGAGCCCCACTTTCTCTACACCCATTAAGTTCATAAACCCAGTTTCATAATGTACTCAGTACCTTCCTGTTTAGATGACTCCTACCATGGACAATTAGAAAGTGATCATACTGTTAATCAGGCCCTGTAAAACTAGCAAATAGAGAAAATCTGGTTCTCTCTTGTAGCTGACATTAGGATAACAAAGGTACTGATACGGGTTGATATTTTTATAGGCATGGAGACAAGACTATTAAATTTCTCATTTTATTTTTTGTTTTGTTCTCACTGATTAGTGAAAATGGAGGATGAGATATATGACCTAGGGAGGGTTCAGATCAGATCAGTAATTGAAACAAATTCTAGACATGAAAGGACTGCCTAGTGTTTAGAAATCATTAAAGGCTGAAAATTACTCTCTGTAAGGGAGCTGGAATAAAACAGTGTTTTGGAAAATAAGCAAAAACTTCAGAAATTGCTTTCAGAAGTTCTGCTGTAACATTGATTGTGCAACTGCCAGTTTTATAAACATTTAAATTTGAATTAATGTCTTGACTGCAGCAAACAGGCAGCAAAGGGCAACTGATCTTTCTTCCAGCTGTGCAATGATCAGTGACTTATTAATTGGACTTGTAAAATTAAAATTCGGTGCTTATTTTTTACTAAGCAGAATGGAGTTACTGCTGGTATTAATACATAATGTATGCAAATGAACAAACATTACCTTTTGCTGTATACAATTTGTGAGTGATTTTGTTGATATTTTGTGATTCATTCTTCTAATACCAGCGTATGCAAAATGTCATGCCTAAGAGGGGTCCATTTGTTTTGGGTTTTGCCTTCTGTTTTCTTTTGGCTTTCTGTAGTTAAGCTGATGGAGAGCTTCACACCAAACCCTGGTGAAAATGAGTTGGTAGTGTGCTTGCTCTTCATCATAGTTCACAGAAACATCAACAGGAGCATTTTACTTGGGAAGAGCAGCTTATCAGAACTCCTGCAAAGCTAAATTGTTGCAGTTCTCAAGAGAGCCAAATAAACAGTGGGCATTAATCTGTTTCTTGATACGCTGCAGCAGCTAAAGTTACTGAGATGTTTCTGCCTCTTTCCTGCTGCAGGTTTTTCCTTAGTTCCCTTAGTAGTTCATGTAGTAAAAATACCCACCAACTTTTGGTAGGTTCTATCAAACTAGGAGACCTAGGAATTAATTTGTGTTGACCCAACAGAGGGCTAGTAACCTGCAATGGCAAAGCTGGCCATCTGGCTGGTGGTCACCTGGCTTCCACACCATCAGGTACAGCCTCCTGCCTGTCTGTGGAGCGTGGGGTGCTGCAGCAAGCTTAACTCTTCTGCTTCTTTGTCTCCTGACAGATGTTACCCAGGAAAGGGCTGTGACAGCAGCTCTCAATACACATGCTATCTGCCTCTCCGTTGCTATGTAACAGTGAGACTGAGTCTCATTGTTCAACTTACATTTTTATTTCTCTGGAAATAACTTTCTTCTGGGGCCAGGAAAAATAAAATGTATCTCTTTAGTCTTCCCCCTTCTCATTCACTTATACTGCCTTCTTTAAAGTGTTACAGTTTGTCCAGGGTCTCTTTATAACTTGTTTCTTAATAGGAGAAGCAAATCTCTACATAATGCAGTCCCTATTTCCTTAACAATCAGAAATGTTCAAGCCTTCCTGACACCACCACCAGATCTCCACCATAATTACAGTGACTTTCAAAAGCATTAGTTCTCCTGCAGCATTACATCAGGGTATAATGATATAAGGAATATGAAAGAAGTCTTTCTGCATAGGAGTTTTAGAAGTTATAGAAACTAAACTACGACCTTCGTTATTCAACTCCTAGTAATATTTTCTTTCTAGGCCCCATATTCCAGAACAGTTCAGAGAGGGGAGGGCAGATACAGACCCTAAGCCATTTGGCTAGGGAGTCAGTAAAATCAGTTTTCTTGAGTCACACTCATCATGACCTTATCATCCTATTTCACTGAATAGCACTAATACCTCCCTAAAATATTTCATAATTAATGTACAAACTTTATCTGCAAGCAAAAAATCATTTAAGTAGGTATCTGAGATAGATTCTTCCTTTCTGTGAAACTGCAAAGTAATAAAAACAAACTCTGCAGCACAGCCAACTACTGGTAACCATGTGCACCTTATGCTATAGGCACCTGGAAAGCCAGTGGTTGCCTAAAGCAACAGCTTCCTGGGAGGGCAAAATTATCATATGTGTGAATTCGAATACCCCAAATTCATCCTACTAAATTATATACATCAGACATTAAGGTAGCTTATGAATATGAATTGAATATCACACAGTGAGTTGAAATACTTTATAACATTGGTCTCTGAAGCTAGTGCAGATTGTTAAATATGTTTTCCTTCTTTGGAGGTTATATTCTTGGCTTGTTTTTATTCGAGTGACATGATGATTGATAGATGGAGTGAATGTAGCCAAAATAGTTGCACAGTTACTTGATTACAATGAATTCTGTTCATCCACCTTCACATTAACTTCAGGTTTGTTTCTCACAAACTTTCAGCTTCTGAAGTTTCTAGAGAAAATATTTTCAGATAACGAATTTCGAAACACTTTTCCATACTTTTTTTGAAATTTCTTGTGCACTCTTGTCCCTGGGTAGCAAGACAGCATGACACCTGCACACCTTGTTCAGGGCAACCCTGTCTGAGAGGAAGAGAAGGCCACAAGTAGAAAAGAGACCCAGGAACCAGACTGGATAATCAGCCGGTCATTGTAATACAATGCCCATTTACAGTGGGAAAGAAATGCGATAGGTCTGTCTAGTATGCAAAGCAGAGACAGAAGGGTGTAATTGTACAACAGTGACTTTGCCATCTCTAAACCCGTGCAGCTGGGTGAAGTTCAGGATACTGTGATCAGTTCATATTGTAAAGATCTAAAAGACAACCATATGAAAATAATTTTGATGTCACATTGTGAGTAGAGGCAGGAGCTAAACCAAGCAGTTCCTCCATGCATTAATGATACATTAAAGCTCACCTATTTTTTTACTTGCAGGGATTCTGTCTGTTATCTCTGCTTGCAAACATATTTCAATATTTTTGAATATGGAAATAACTCTAAAAAATTCAGAAGTCTAAAAAAATTCAAAATTACCAAACAAAAAAATTGTGTTAGAGATGCTTATATATTTTTATTTATTCTCTGTTTTTCATCTGTGCTTTGACAAACAGAGCTGATGCTTAAAAGCAGCTATGGTCAATCCCATTTCCTTGAAAATCAATACCTGTCAGAGGAACATGAATTCAATGTCAGAGATTTAATTTCTATAAACCCCAAAAGTTTTTCTATGTTTAATTTAAATGGATAAATGGTAGGATTTAAAGTTTTTAGTTCTTTTAGTACCACCAAGTTCTGATTAGACATAAATTGTCTGTAAACCCTTGTTAGATGTTTATACTTAAATTTAAATATGCTTCTATCTTCTCCTCATAGGTCTTTGTCACTTTCCTCTAAAATGACCCTGCTGAAGTAGTTTTTACTTCATTCAGAGAGAATGATTGAAAGCACGTTATACTATTTATATATTTATTATATATATATAATATTTTAAGAGGAAGGAAGCCTAGCAATCCTTTCACTAGCTCAAATGGTGTCACTTGTTCTTTCAGAAGTGGCTGGCCAGCCACTAAATATCTGAGTCCTTTTGAGACAGCCTAGGGATATCCTGATCCATGAGTGCTTTAGGGAGAAATTTTTCTGTCAAAGGTGAAATTGATCATTCCCATTACAAAAGTTTGTCAGACCTGGAGTGAATTTCACATACAGCCCAGGTGGAAGTGGATTGAAAAAAAAGAGGTTTTGACTGCACTAGAAAAGCACACCAGGCTAATGGTTGCAGTGAGGATTAGAAAAGAAAGTTCTTTGACTTCAGGTCACCCTTAAATCTCATGTGAGTTGCCTGCTGGCAAGCAGAGGCACTTATCCTGAACTACCTGGGCCACCTCTATTAATCATGCAAGCACACCTTCTGATGCATTCTAGATGTACACTGGCAACAAGCAATTGGTAATTTTATGGTGGAAATAATAATTTTAGAATACCTTAAAGCAAAGCTTTGCATCATTAAAAATAAAATCCCTGAAAAATTCATATTTGTTATCTTCCTTTACTACATCTATTTCACCTGATTGCGTAAGTGTTGGTGCATGTCCAGGAGCCAGAAAACATTAAGATTTCAGATCACAGAATGTAGGAGAATGGATAGTCACAGTTGTGTATGAGGATGCAAACCCATTCTGATACTATCCAATATCTGTAACATTTAGATTAATTACCTTTTTTTTTTTTAATATTTTTTCTTCTTTTAAAGAAATTAACATCAGTCACCTGGAAATCAAGTACAATGAATTATTTAGCTCAATGCTTTAAATCTTTTTTAATCTGGATGCCTTTATTAATCACTGTTAGTCTTTATTAAATACTTGACAATCATAGCAAATAATGATGTATTGGGTAAGTAATCGAAGCTGAAGTAAAAAATATTGTTTTCTTTTGTAACAAGTGTACCAAGGGATAATTCATTGTTGACCTCATAACTAATGGGACATTGTTATTGTTTTATATCAAAATGATGCTGAAGTTGTTTTGCTATAGCTGTACTCTTCATTACCATATCCATATCTATCTCATTTTCTGCCTTACAATCCAATTACTATGTAGTATTTTTAATAACCAGTAAAATAGAATACCCTCCACTGCACCCTGTCAACACTACTTTTCAGCTCCTACTGAGGAAAAAACGAAATGTGGAAATATTAGAGCATGGTTGTATTTTTGTTCTCCAAATAATTCAGTGAAACTAATCTTACTTTTTGGCTCCTGTTCTACAGCATGGTCAAGAAAAACTCTGCTGTGTTCTCATTTCTATTTGCAAGTCTCTCCTCTATCTACCTCCTCCCTCTGGTGACTGAAAATCCTGTCCATGGTATTTTACAAATGTTCACAAAGAAGAACAATATTTAGAGAGTCTTTAGTAAATTCTTCCTGTCTTTTTCAATCCTGTCATCACTCTTGGTACAGTCGACATGTGCTGGGGATGCTACAAGGATACCAGGTTCAGCTACAGAACTGAAACACAAGTTTAAGGAGGGGGACAGGACATGTGGAATCATTTTTACTAGTTGCCATGATTTTGTACTCTTTTCCTCGGGCAGAGCATGAAAGATCTGTGCAAGTTGTTGTTTGTAAGGCAATATACGATTTTTTTTTTTTTTTGAGGAAATTTCTTTAACTTTATAATGTCTATCCTTGGATTGTGGTAACAGATGGTGAGGAAAAGAAATGTTGCAGTTCTTAGCATGATGAGCGAAGGCTCTGCTCAGCTTGCTTTATCTCAAAAACAACGGAGAGGTGGCAGTAAGGGAAAGAAATCATGAATATGCACACTTTAAAACATTTTTATATCACAACCACTAGGGATCACCCAGGATGTGCAGTCAGAAATATTGCTAGTATACAAAATGCTCACTTGTATACAGACACTGATACCAAAACACATAACAAAACATGGGCTGCAACATGCAACTTTTCTCCTTACTTGAGCCTTTCTTCAAGGTCCAAGCTGCATCTAAACAGTGCCTTTGCTTTTTACGACAAGGAAGGCAAGCCTGGTAGAGCAAAGCTTCTTTCAGTCATAGGGTCTGTAAAAGCTCTTGAAGTTTCTGTGTATCACTGACACCCACTTCACTTCTACAAGTTGAATGGCTTTACCTGCAGGAGCAGAGTGAGAAGGAAGGGCTACACAGTCCAGGAGCAGGGGTGCAGAGATGGTCTCTGGGTAGATAACACGGTCACTCCTCTCTTGCAACAAAGGAAGACCAGGAAAGGGAGTTAGCATAAAACAAAAAAAAGGCAGGAAAGAAAACTGAAGAGGACTTTATGTCTCTCTTGCAAATTCTCTTACAGAATGAGAAACTATAAAAAAGCCAAGTTCTTGTAGCAGGCACTGCTGCTTAGTCTATCCAGGTTCAAGTTCCTGAGCTCATCAAGAGCTGGGAAGGCATTCGAGTTGACCCTACTCTACTGTCCCAGCTATTGCATATGCTCAGCAAGACCATTTGAATGGGCTGAAACACATCTGGAACACCACATATGCCCCAGATCTGCTTCTGGGTCATTTTGTGATGAGATATGGTACTGCTTCTCATGGAGAGATTTAGATGGTGCTAAGTCTGAGGGGGAATAAATCTGGACTGTTACAGTGTGATTCACCTTGGACAGGCAAAGCTTTTCCAGCCCATCTTCATTTCTATTTTTAGGCACAAGCTCAGAAACTATAATTCGTAAACTAGGTTAGTCAAAATATGCAAGAGAAAAGGAAGGACAAAAGAAGTCAGTCTTTTATTTCAGACTCTGTGTTCTTTTTTTCCCCATTTTATGCTCATTTATTATTAATATTTTACAATTATTGTAATATGTTCTTAATGGTTTACTAAAAGGGATAGAGAAACCTGTCCTATTTTGGAGGTATGATATATATTCAGAGGAAACACAAGAAAAGTCCTTTTCTACTGATGGTCAACGTGTTTTTTCTGCTGAGCTCCCTGCTGTATCTCACAAGGAGATTTTTCAAATTAATTCAGTCAGATTTCCCTAGAATCAAGAGAATAGCATAGTATTTATTTCATGCTAATCAATTCTCTGACTTGCATGAGGAGCTGGCTAATTTATTTGCAGAGTGGCATTTTGATTACAGGCAATGCGGGTAAAAGATTAGGTTTGTGGCAAGAAAAATTTCTGTAAATATTTTGGTGAAACTATGTGACAAGGAAGGTATTTCTTATGCTGTTTAAAAAATTATAAACTGTTAGTCTTTCCTATAAATCTCTTGAGAACGTTTATGTTCATGGACTTCTAAAAATACATTGTACAGTATCAGTACATTTGAAGACACAGCGAGAAATTATTATTATCATCTAATATAAATTGCTATCAGTATAGAATCGTCTTTTATTAGTAGTATAACTATACTGTAGTCAAAGCTGCTGTTTCTTCCTCTTAACATGAGTTAATATTTATTAAAATCAAAGTGTGATATGCTCCTTTATGCTTGGGGATTCATGTCATGTTTAGCAGTAGTTTCCTGGAGTAAAATGAGCTTTTCTCAGGTGGGCAAAAGCATTGCTGCTGGGAACGATTATAATGCTGAATTTTGCATACAGAGGTAACTTACCAAGATTTGACAAACTAATTTAGTGTCTGTGCCTTCAGCCCTATGTCAAGGTAGACTCTTAGAGTCTCAGTCTCAGTTGAAGCTTGTTTACCCACACAGTCCGCAATTCCCTGTAGTGGTACAGCTGTGGAGTGTGGTTTTTTGGTTTTGATGTAACTGTTTTTCTACTTGTGGAGTATTTTGAGCTCTATCTCTGTCAAGAGAATGTGGCCACGGGTGCTGGTGACAATTCTGCTGTGCACCAAGGTGGATGCTCTGGGCCTCTGCCTCAAGCAGTACCTCTGCCTGGTGGCTCCAACGTGTTGCTCATGTAGCAGCAAAATGTGCAAGCATAGCTAACAGTTTCAGATGAAAATTTTTGCATCTACATGAAAAATACCATCTCTTCTGCTCAAATGAGGAGTGTTTTTCCTGACTCAAGGGGGATTATGGTAAGGGTAAGCCTGTGTGACAGGCAACAGTGCAGCAGAGGTACAACCAGAGTTGCTAGATCTGAACTTGCAAAAATGGTGAGTCTTCCAAAATGTCTTGTTATCCTACTAGAAAGGGGGAAAATATCATGCCACTTCTATTGTTTGTTGATATATTAATTTTCTCAACTTGCTGGCCTGTTTCCTCTTACATTTTTTTGGTCCCACTATCATGTCTACCATCATTTTGAAAGGAAGGTGCTATGTTCATGGGGGGGTTTGTAACTTGAAACCAGCTATCTGTACTGGAGTGTTTCTAACTCCTAGTGGAATGCAGAATAATTCATTGAACTAGCTTTATGGTATATACCAAGAAACACAGATGCTCCATGTTGGTTTCTTAGGAAATATTTAAAGACCTTACTGGGCTTTGCAAATTCTGCCTTCAGCCTCAGATTGTAAGCTGAACTCAGCTTTTGAAGAAATATATTTGTATTCTTTTCAACTCAAACAACCTGCCTCAACTTCCCTTGCTGATAGCAACTGTTGTACCTTTTAGCGTGTGCTCCTGTCTTTCAGAAGAAATAAAATTTGTGAAAATCTGCCATGTGAGATGAAGCATTGGGAAATGAATAAGTAACTCGATGGGAATGGAAATGAAAGTTTCCATTATATAGTTATAGCTCCTTCAGCAACTGACAAGTAAAATATTGATAATAAATCGTATGCATGAGCTTCACAGGTTTAGCCATTGGATTCAGTTTGACTACTGCCTATGGTGTCTGGCCTGCTGTGAGGCAGCATAATGACAGCACATTTCTTTGAGAGAAAAAAATTCTTCTGTTTAAGCTGAAGATGGATGCTGTTTCCATCTGCTTCAAACTTTTCAGATTGGATAGGCATCATTTTAAATGGCAGCACATGTACTAGCTGACAAAAGATTATTTAAAATGGTAATATTGTAAATCACTAATTATGTCACATAACCAGGATTACATAAACTAACAGTTTATGTAAGTTTATTTCGCGGTCACAGCACCAAGCCTGACAGAGTTCAAGAATGGTTTGGATGACACTCTCAGGCACATGGTATGACTTTTGGGGATGGTCCTGTGCAGGGCTAAGGGTTGGACTCAATAATCCTTGTGTGTCCCTTTCAACTCAACATATTCTCTGATTCTGTGATTCTGTGAACATGAAATCACACAGTTCTTTAAATCAGCCATCACTCACAACACATACATGTGCTTCTTCATTAGGTGTCTTGCTCCATGAAACAAAGACAAATGTTCCATTTTATGGATTATAACATCACTAATACATAAACTCTCTTTCAAATGCCTTTTGTGAAATCTCCTATTAAACTTTTCCTCTTTCAATTATGATTTTTCTAGCCCAGCTAAGTCAGATTTGGCTTTCTGATGTATGAAGTAAGCTATTGTTCATATGAAGCTTCACAAAATCTCCAGGAGTGCACGTTAGATGGATTTCAAATCATTCTGTTTTCCTCTTTATTAGTTTTTTTATATCCCTCAATTTGGCTTCAATTCAGGGAAGCACTCAAGCAAGTGCTTAGCTTTGAGAATGTGCTTAAATCCATTTTGTTGTTGTTGTTGTTGTTTTTGTGGGGTTTTTTTGTTTGGTTTTTTTTGTTTGTTTTTTTTTTTTTGTGTGGAAATATAGGCTCATACTAAGGGCTTTGCAAAGCAAGAAATGTTGTTATTTTCCCACAGGATGTCCCCCATATTTTAGCCATGTGTTTGCCTATTACTTTAAGCTGAGGTTTCTGTCTAGGCCCCTCCCCAATCCCCCTTCATCCACCCCCCTGTTCTGCCCCATTTCACCCCTCAGCACACCCCTTCAGGAACTGAGTCTGGGGGAGTTTGGGACCCCTCTTTCATCATCTTCCTCTTTATCACTGACAGTCCTCGGAATCCTTCCAAGGTTCTGGGCCTGAAGGCTATTGTCCATGTTTACATTCCTTGGGACAGGCGTTAAGGTGCTTTCTGCAAATCTACGCTGAAAAGAAGACTAAACAGCTAACGGACTTAAAGGAGTTTTGATATGGGAAGGGGGTAACAGTGTTGGGAAAATGTATAAACTACTGTGCTAAAGGGTGAGGGATATAATACAGCTGCTTTAAAATCTACATTCACTACATAACTACTTCTAAAGTCTATAAAAATTAAAAAATCAAAAACTCTAAGGCAACAATAGCTATGTTATTTTAACCTGGGATGAAGCTGCTTGAGCTAAGCATTTAAATAAACAAAATAATGTCTTTTGCAGCATAACTACTTTCAGAAACAGTGCTAACATTTCTCTATTTCTATCAGATAATCAATAAAAATTCTTTTTCCCCTCACCCACCCTTTTTTTGTTTTTAATGACCATTTCTGGGCAGAAAGGGGTAGCTTAAAACTATCACTGCTAAAGGAGAGAATTTACAGATCCAGTGTGTTTCCTCTTTCAGAGGAAGACCCATCCAAATGAAAGACTAGGCTTGTCAACGCAAAGTATCTGGTCTCTGAAGTTGTGGTGCTTTTAAGGAGGTGCAGGTATGAATGTCTTGGATTATTTTGATACTACTGTAAACTAATAGAATAAATGTATTTGGCAAATCCTTTTGATATATGAAAACAGGTCTCCCAGTTACTCAACCAATGAGTTTTCCTTATGTAATTCTCTAAGCACATAGGCTTCTGCTGCCATGAACTTCCCTAACGGTGAGGAAAAGTGTTTTGAGGATATTTAGAGTCTTGTACACCCCATATTCTTCCTATTGACAACTAGACCTCCTTTAAGTCTATTTGTCATAATACACAGAATGAAAACTCTGAGTCTGGAGGAGACTCCATCATGGCCAAGGAAGTAATCAAGTATCAGTCCTTTCTATTAATTCAAGGACAGTGTCTGACCATCAGAATTAGTTTTTGCTCACCAGGGTTTCATCTCTTCTGCACTTCTGTGCCAGACATTCATTTGCAGAGAACAGTTATGAGGATGTTTCATTTACCAGTCATGGCTACCAAGACCACAGAGAAGCTGTGTTAGGTGTGGACACAGAACCCACCTCCTAACTGTACAGTAACCAACATCCTTAGGGATCTGTACCTTTCCTTAATTTGAAAAGCCTATTGGAACAGGGGGAAAAAGGCACGTATACCTGCAGTGCCAAGTGCCCTTCCTGACAAGTTTGCTTTAAATTGTCAGCAGTGTGCTGTGCCCTGGCAGCCAGGAAGGCCAACCGTGTCCTGGGGCATCAGGCAAAGCATTGCCAAACTGTCGAGGGAGGTGATTGTCCTACTCTGCTCTGTACTGATGTGACTCTGGGGGATGGTCCTGTGATCCTTGTGTGTCCCTTCCAACTCAGCCTATTCTGTGATTTTGTAATATCAGAACTTTAATTTGTTTCAATTTTTAAGATAGCATAAACCACAACATTTTCCATGGTACTATTTTCTGTGTGACTTTTTTTCCAGCAAATTCAGACTCCATCACATGAAAGTCAAACCCATGATTAATCATGGAGAAATTATAAACAAATTATAAACAGATTTTGTAATATGTGTAATATCACACATATTTAACAAGACAGAGTTTCCCAGTGAAAGTCTACCTTTATTAAGGTCTTTCAGGTCTACTTTTAGAAATATACTGTTCTAGTCTGAGGCCTTTGTATTTTCTATTCTAATGGTCACCTATTGGAATAGACAATTTATAATAAAATCATCTGAGTTCCAGCAGCATGGCATATAGCTTTCTTTTCAGTTATAATGTTTATTGTAAAATAGTAATATTAAGATTCGTTATTTTTCTACTAATTTTAAGGCTCTAAGGCATATTGCAATTTTATTCATAATAACCTCAATTACTATTATTTTATGGTCTGAAATAGACTTATCTGAGAATACCTGGGTGACTTAATGTAGGAGTCAAAGTAAGGCCAATATGCTCTGTGCAAGCTTGTTGCTTGGATTGAAAACCAGACTTAGAAATTAATTCATTACATATTTTAGGGGAAAGTGACAATTTACAATGTTTAAGATGAATAATGAAACCTTACCAATGGCATGATTTCTTCAGCATTTCGTGTAGTCCCTTCTAACCAGAAGTCAGTGAGCGCTACAAGCAAATCTGAATGCAGCAGCTGACCTACTGAAAATTCAAAAGGATTACAGAGTTTAAGGATTACTACAAAGTCCCTATTAATATTTAACCAACCAACCTGTCTGACTGGTAGATACTACTGACACTTTTAGAAATTCATTTATTCAAAGAAACACCATCTCATTATGTGAGTTTATCTAATAGACATGTCCTTCTTTCAAGCTGGAATTTTAAGCTAAGTAGAAATGCTTTGCTGGTTGGAAGACAGCATGTTGTTTACTGGATTTCTCAGCATGAAATTACAAACAAAAGGCATGTCATATTCTTGCATATAGTTAAAACAGATTGATTGTGGTTTTGTTTGACTAAACAATGGCTTCACTGAATTTGTGGACAGTTATGCTTGCTTTAGAACCTGGTCCATGAAACATTTGGAATTTGTTATCCAACAGCAAGCTGTGTCTTTGCAAACATGCCTCTGAACAGGCTCACTCTCCAGCTTTTGTGTGGCAAGCTGAATGAGTCTATGAATCTGAATATTTCTTTTCCAGTTAGAGACGTTTGATGTATATCCTATATATGAGAAGTTCCTAGAGGGAAAAAAGCCAACATGGATAAAACAAGAAAAAAATTCTGTAGAGCTGATCTAGTTTCCATCTGTGATCACTGAACCTGTGGTTTTGTGAATCACAGAAGTAGGCATATCTCTTAACCTTCATAAAACTTTTGAGGTCTTCCCCAATGCTCTCAAGAGTGAACTTGGAAGGTATGGCCAAAGTGGAAAGATGATTGGGTATCTGATATGTCTGATGAAATAACTGCACAAGGGACATAGGAAGGTGAGAAAAACCAGTTTTATTATTTATTTAAGCATATGTTCCTTTTTTTCTTTTTTTTTTTCCCTTCATTTTTTATCATACTTGCTAAAGAAAAGTTAGACTTTCCACTTGAAATGTAGGAAGTCTTTAAAAAGAAGAAAAGGAATACTTTCTCACTGTCTTGTGTCTAAAATATGGTTTATTTAAAACACATTCAGTTAAAAGGTCTGCTATTTTTAAAGATAAGTGTTCTCACTGTGAGTTGCAATAAAAGGTTTAGATCTAATTCAGACCTGACCTGGAACACACTTTTGTCAGCTGAAGGCCTAAATTTGATTCTATGTTTCCACCTCAGCTGTAGCAGTTCAATGGCTACATTATCCCTGAAGAAGGCAGATATTGGGGCATTTATTAATAGATAACCCAAGAAGAAATGGAAGAAATTATAGACAACAATCAAATTCAATGAAATTATGATGCTTTAGTTTGCAGTCACACTATGGTATAGTAGTCAAGTGGATAAAGCTCAAACATTTAAAATGTAATAAGGCTAGATTATATCACTCATGTACGCTATTTCAAAATAATTTTATAATATATTTTCACTTGTGACAAGCATCTGGGACCATAAGGTTCCAAAATAAAAAAAATGTTTTCTTCGAGATGAATTCAGAGAGGATGTGGAATGCTGTTTAAAAGCAAAGTTAGACTAGAATTTAGCTTTTCAGAAGTGAAATCTGTTTCTGTTTGATAAGCAGACCCATAGCTTTTCTGCAAATACATATAAGTTTAAGGCATCAAAGATCTGGGATCTATGTTGCTCTATTCATAATAATTTGTGTTTTTCTGTATACACAGTTGAATTCTTAAGTTGAATGTCTGTTTTGTGTTGGTACCTTTATGTTAGTAATTTGCTGTTCCATTTTGGAAAGGAAAGATGTTTTACCAATACTGATATGGTTTTACAGGGACTATGCTAGACTCTTCATTGATAAAATTTATCCAAAGAATAAAAGAAACCTAAAAACATTTAGAACATATTGAAACAATTTTGATATTAAAGTTTTTAAGAGTGTCTCTTTTATACTGCTTGAAAAAATAAAAATGCATAAACGGTTCTACTGGTATGGACCTGTTTAGAGCATATGCATGTCTCATGGAGAGAGTTTATGCAGAACAGGCAAGGGATAAAACAGTCTTTTTGACATTAAATGAACTGTTATTTTTATAAATATATACTTGAGCAGTAAACCACCCATTTATGTAGCTAGAGGGTACTTTAAATTCATGTTCTACTCAGCTAAAAGGAAACAAGAATTAGTCCGGTAATATTACAATGCTCTGTCAAGAACATAAAGGACAGTATGAAACTTAAAGTAATTAAAATTTTACATGAAAAAATTACTTTTCAGTCAAAGCAATATTTGGAATCAATTTAAGGGACTAATAGGAATATCTCTCAATAACAGAACAAACGACATTTCTGATGGGGCATATCTGATCCTTTAAAGGTTAGACTTATCACTCCATGCATCTTGGAGGTCAAAAATTCTTAACTCTTGCTCTGTCAGCAAAATTTTCAAGTCTATTTTTGTCTGCAGCCATATAAGAGGCTCATTCTTTGCAGATGCTGATTTTTTTTTCTATAAGATGAACATATGAGGGTTCAGAAAGCTTGGGAATATGCCAGCTGAGGAGGGACAAACTCACAGGTTTTAACTCCTCACCTCAACAATACAAAGCAAATAAGGTGATTATTCAGTTGCTTTAAACAGATTTTGATTTAAGCCAGTGAAACAAGTGAAATAAAGCCAGACAAAAATATCCAAAGAACTATTGGCATTTCTGTCTCCTGAATTTTTGCCATGAATTTTCTTTTTGTTGGAAATTTTTTAGCTTATGCCAAAAATGGCAATTTGTCTTCATTTGACAGCAAGTTTCTGTAAGGTTTTATGGCTTCAATCCACATGGATACTTTTTTATGTCCTTGCGCTCCTAGAGTGACTATGAAAGCAATCCATCTTTTTTTTCCCTTGAAATTCAAAGATAATTTTCTTTATTTCACAAGGATTATAGGAAAAAAAAATCCACTAGCTTGTTTTATTTTCCTGTTGCTCATA